CCTTTGTTAAGGTGGTCTTGATTTCTCCACTGGACTTACAGTAAGCAGGGACTGTCTTTATCTGTATTTCCCATCAAGCAGGGACTGTCTTTTTCTGTATTTCCCATCATTCTTCCATAGAGCCTTCTGGAGTGTGAGGAAAATTAGCATGAAGAAGCAGAAGGAAAATTTAGAGTTGTTTTCATTAAACATGGCCCTGCCTATGAACGTGAATGTATGTGAAGGACTGGATTAAAGGACAAGGAAGTAATAGAATCCACTGAGAAAGGGTTATCTGCCAGCATAGCAGAAGTGGGTGATTTTTTGTTTTTGATTTTTTCAGATTTCCTCTTAGGCTTTTTGAGATTAAATAACAGTGCTAAGAACAAACATGAACAAAAATGAAAACAAAAACTGGATAATGGCCACTCTCTTAGTCATATTTAATTGTTAGGTATAAGACCATTTGAAAACTTATGCATGTTTCAACATCTTGGTATTTAAAAATGATTTTAGGAATAGGGAAGCTGAAATTTGATGAGCATCACTTAGCAATGACATTATTTCAAAGAAAGCAGATGACTTCTATAAACAAATATTGATCTAAACAAGCAAAGACATCTTGGTTTACAGGACATTGCCTTGCTGTCGGAGCAAGCTCTCTGTCAATTTTTGATAAAGCATGGTACCAACTTCTCTCCACTTGAACTCTTTGCCTTTGTGAGATCTTATATTTACTTGACATAAGTGGTGAGGTCCTGAATACATAAGAACTCTCCCTTTATTACTTTGTTCTGGAAAACAGAACAAAAATAGGTCAGGAAATGATGGCTGCATATATAAATAATGTAAACACTCCTATCACTGTCCTGGGCAGGACATTTATCATGCACACAGCCACAGACACGCAGATCTGGCCCCCAACTTACAGCTCTCAACTTTTGAGTTGTCAATTGGAAACTTGATTATTATCAGTTTAAAACAACCAGGGAACTCTGGCAATGATTTAACTTGTTTGACTTTCTTAAGCTAACAATTAACATTTTAGACTATTGTTGACAAAATATTTAACTTTCCCATGCCATTTGTGTAAGTGACTTTTCTAATATTCCTGAGAGCTCTGGGGGCTACACTTTTCCTAAACTTCTCAGGCCCATGCAGGGGCCTGTGAAGTACATTCATTCAAAAATGCCCCAGACTTTCACAGTATCACACATTAGAAGTGGAATTTCCTGGGACTTCAAGAACACTTAAGTAAACTGATATCTCAGTTTTAACTTGATAGCACTAAATTTGGAATACCGATCCCTCTACAATAAAAGTTATTTCACCACTTAAAACAGACAACTTGAGAGCTGAGATACTTTTAAACCCTGAAAAAACTGGTATTATTATTCATCGTTCAGTGGTTTATTAGTAGTAATATTAGTGAAGATGTCTTGCACTTTTGTAGGGCAGTTATTTTTTTCTCAAGCTCATTCAGAAACATATCTTCATTTGCTTCTCTCAACAAGCTAGAGCAGGATTCTAGTTCTCTCTGTTTTACAGATGACTGCTAAGTGACTTGTCCTAGATTACCCAGCTGGTTAAGGATCAAGCAGACACAAATTCAAGAGCCACAGGTCCCTTGTTTGATCTGCTTTCTTTCCCCCACACCACATTAGAGAAAAGATAATCTCTGAAGCCAAAGACGACTTAGAACCACTTATCTACCCATCCTAGCAACACAATCTATACAATAGAAAAAAGAGCTTGTCTCAGGAAAAAGGGAAAGATTAATAATGTACCATGGAAGTGCTAACCTTACTGTTCCATGGACCAGCAATTATTCAGTTTCACAGTTCATTCAAAGATTCAAACATACTTCACTAGAAAATGATTTAGTGCTGAAAGCCTCCTCCAAGTGGTTAGAAATACAGATTTGCTCAAAGCCCTACAATACCAGCTCTCTAAAAGGCCCTGTTCCTGTAGTCTCTGCAGCAGTGGGGCTTCCCCTGAACATGTACTTGAGCTAAATGAAGAAACTGGCTGAGTAAGGGCTGCAGAATTAGGCTTTCAATGTGGACAGAATTAGAACTGACTTAGAGGTTATTCTCGCATTATTCTCGAAACTTAGGCTATTGAAAAGATTCAGAAATTAAATATTCTCCGCAGTAGAACACACCTCAAAGTCAACACTATCCCACTGAACAGAACTAATCCTTTCACCTTCATTCAGCAAACATTATTCACTATATACAAGGCATTGTACTAGAAGGTATGTGGGATACAGAGCGTTCATCTGAGGACATAGCACTTATTTGATTTTAGATGATCAATATTCTCTCCTTTTCTCCAAAGGACATTTATGGCCACTTAAAGCATACAAATTCACTATTAAAGAGATACATTCAGCACACCCAGATCACATAAATCTGGGTATGGACACAGTTGCCATAAAATTAAGAAAGAATTCTGACACTCATTCTGGGCAAAGACCTTTAGATCAACAGTGTCTTTGAAAATAAGAGAAGCCTGCTTGAAGTGAGACCTGCTGGTGTAATGGGCCTGGTGAATCACTCCCTAATGCCCAGGCCTCCTGTCAGACACAATGTTATCAGGTTAATACAGCACTTGCATCACCATCTCCGAGTACCAGGCTGAGTAATAAAGTGCCAAATTTAGAAGCTATAATGGAGAGGGAATTTCCAATAACCAAAAGGGGAGCTGTGGATCAACCTTTGCAATCCCACAGTTTCAATGAAGAACACCATTTTGAAATAAGTTGCTCTTTTCCTTTCTAACTTAATGTCAAACCTCCCACATCATCACTACACTTGGAAAGGGAACCACTCCAAGGGAATGAATATATTAGGAGATGGTTGGAGGGCAGAGGAGAGAGCAGAGGTGGCAAAACAAACACCTTTGGCTTCTGCAGGCTTAGCTCTTTAGTGGAGAAAGGCCAGATGTTATTTCCTCTCTTCTCTGCCAACATGGATATTGCTATTGTAAAGCTACAATAACCACTGAAATTGGTTTCATTTCACATCCCAAAGCACTCAAGAAAAAGAGAAGGCCTCATCTTACTTCCAAGTTGGACAAAAGCAAAAAAATAAACAAACAAAACAACCCAAACCCAAAGCACCCAAGGCTATGAGCAGACATGCCAGGTTCCTTTCAGAGGCATGTATTTGAAGGCCCTGAGGAAAAGCCCCTGTGGCCCTTTTGTAGATCCTCTTGTCTTGACATACAGGACAGATCAGCTTTCCCCTTTCAGGGCTGGCCTGGGTGCCTTGCTGTCAGTATCATCCTAGAAACACTTAACAGGAGACTGTGAAGCACACAAAGCTGTATTATTGGGAGACTTGCAGGCAGATTATAAATTTACTGGGGACAATCAAGGCATTTAGTTTCTTTTGGCTGCAGATGCTGGTGACACACACATACATACAAACTTCATTCTTCTTGCCATTCGAGTAATTCTTTGCCTTCCTCCTTCATCCTAGCATCTCTCTTTCACAAAACAAACTCCCACTGCTCTGCTGGGGGAATTCCAGGGAGAAGTGCAATGGAGCAGGTGGTAGAGAAAGGAAATCAGGACTTGAAGCTCCAACAGAACCTCACAAGCTAACTGCTTTCAGGGATAAAACACTAAACACTGGGCAGTTTCACTACAGGTAGTTATTTTTCTGTCTGAAGCTGGTGTTGAAGAGTTGTACTTTTGGTTATCCCAAGTAAAATGTTTGTATGGAGGGGGAGAAGAGCATCGTGACTCCCAGATCCACGAAATCTCCCCATCACAGACTTAGGGTAGGGATAAGGGGGAACCGAAAAGAAATACCCCAGGGGCCTGGCTGGAGGATGTCCAGTCCCCACAGCTCATTTTCCAGTTTCTCAGGAGGAGACATTGACACAGTACCATCAGGTTTTATGGGCTTTCTGAGTACTTTTGGGCTAACAAGGCCATTTCCTATTTCTGCTTTATACCCAAGCTGGCTTAGGGAACCTAAAGCTGTGCCATGAGCAGATACAGAACTTCAGGAGCCCCATGAAATTCAGGGGGGAAGCTCGCAGGGCTACAGGGCAGCATAGGATATACCACTTTCTATCCAATTGCTACTGGCCCAGCAACACTAGGGGAAGGCAGCACATCTCAGGCAGGCAGTCACCTGACCAGGACTGGGACCAAAAAATCAATGATTCAAGGGATCCTCCTTCTGGGTGGGGTGTGTCTGTGCCTGTGAGGGAACACTTCCAGTCAGAAACTTAATCAGAACTTTTGGGTTTGATATGCAGCCACAAGGAGTGGGTAAAGAGAAGGCACTTCCCAGAATGAAGTGCACTTCCTTCCCACTTCCCCGAATGTTCTGAGTTAGCACTGCTTGATCAGAGTGTCTAGAAAAGAAGCTAGGTGGGAAGTGGGATGGGGTCCACAGGAAGTCAGGGAGTAGGCCTTCTAAGAACATCCTTCACTAGTCTATCTTTGGGATCTATTCCCCCATTTTTTAACTTTTTTGAATGAGTAGACACTCAGGGAACTTGTTCTGTATTACAAGTGCTATTTATGTTCTCTTCACCCAAAAGAAGGGACACTTCAAAGGAAGGAGGGGAAACGGGCAAGAAGGCAAAGGCTTTGATAAAGGTCAGTTGAGCTGATAAATGCCTCCAGGCTGAAGAATGGCTTGTTGGGCCTAATTAGAACTGGCTAGCCAAAGCAGGATGAGCTTTGACACAGGGCCTTCCTTGGCTGCAGCCTCTTCTTTTAAAAGTCCTGAACCCCAGAGAGCCTCTGGAGAAGTAGGACTTCTTATCAGTTAAGGAATATTCTACAGGTGGTGGAAAATCCATGCACAAGCATTGGTGGGATCTGATGAGTAAGAGTACAAAAGCACACAGACAACACACTCAGTGGCCTTTGAGGTCATCAGTGACATCTTGGCCTTCTTTACTGCCATCCATTCTGCACGAGGCCAAGTCAACCTCTACCTTCACAAAAGGTCACATGACCACAGCCAGAAGCATGAGAAAACCAGGTGCCTTACCGCAATCAGGGCTGAGTTCCTCTGGTCCCCTGGGGTTGAAGCTGGTGGCTGCTGCTCTCCATTTATCCTACCACCGCCACCATTATTGCTACTGTTCAACAGATGCTGCTGGTGGTGATGGTGATAGTCTGGTGGGGGCGGTGGGGCTGCTGTTGCTGCTGCTTGGGAAGCCGTAGGAGGGGCAGCAGGGGGCGGTGGAGGGGCTGAAGTGGTGGCAGCGGTGGCATTGGCCTTGGTGTGTTTGCCAGCCTTCCTTGCTCCCTGGCCATGCTGTACAAGGCTCAAGAGCTGCAAGGTGCTCTCCCTTTCACGGTCTGAGCTCTCGGCCCTACCACGTTCATAGCGTCCTTCACAGCTCAGGTGGTGCTGGCGGCAGACAGCAATCCGAGCCCGCAGGCGCTCCACGATAGCACTGTGCACCCTCGGGGTGACTGAGCCCCCTCCTAGGAGCCCCGCCCCAGAAGGCCCCCCTAGCCCTCCTGCGGGGGCCTGCGGGGGCGCTGTGTCCCCCATCTTATTGGACACAATGATTGCTGCCTCTGGGATGATGAGGTGTAAAGAGGCTACTGTGTTGTCTATTGCAGGCAAATCTGTTTTTGACAATGTGAACTCAGTGTTCAGGGCCACATGAATAGAGGTCTTCAGAGGTGGGGGGAGCAGTAGAGAAGGTGTGGGGGAGGGGAGTTAGTAAAAAGAGGGTGGGGAGAAAAGAATGGAGACCAACTGGAGAGGATAAGTTGGAAACAAACCCTGATCAACTTACTCTAATTGCATTTGACAGCTCTGGAGAAGTTGGATAGAGTTGGTGAATTCCCCCCCCACACACACCTCAAGAAGCTGACAAGAGCCACTAGGTACTTTGTAATCACAAAATCTGGGGGTTAGTTCAAGAATTCAGGGATTGTCAAGCAAGAGACAGAAACACACAGAAAAAGGAATGGAGAGAGGTATTAATAGAGAGCTGGACTCCCCGCAAGGAGTTGTTTCAGAAAATTATGGAGAGGTATCTGCAGAGAAATACATTTCTACCATGGTGTATGTAACCGGCAGCCTTTACTTTTTTTCAGGTTAAACACACACACACACACACACACACACACACACACACACAAAACAAAAACAGTGCTGTTTCAGAACGTTTTGAAGTCAATGTTCAAAATGTGCAAAAATCAAGGGCAACGGTCTTTTGGCTTTTGATTTTTTTCCTCTCTTTCTCTTTGCTCCAATGTTATCTCCTCCTTGGGGTGCTGTAGGATGTTGTCTTCTCCCAAAAGGAGACAGCTTTTCAATCGTTAACAATGTCAGTAATTGGACTTTGGGACCATGCTTTTTTCTTCTGCTAATCCAATCACCGGCAAAATCCTCATTCCCTCTAAGGTTTCCTAGCTTTAAATGAAAGCAATCTGAAGTGGCTAGCCACTGAGAGAGATCCTTCGACACATATTTTCTTTCCCGCTTACGGTTCTATTCCTCACCCCCGGCTCTATCCTCATACAGTATCAAGAGACACAAACTCTTCCGAGAGTAATTTACAAACGATGGTCAAACTTACAAACTTCCAGCAAATTGCACCGAGTCATGTCCAGCCACTTTTCTGTCCACTTTTGTACATTCCATCCCGGCCAGTGGATCTGAGGGTCTGGACTCGCAATAAGCAATGTGGTTCTATCTCTTGTATTGCTCCGCTTTATAGATGGAAAAAAAAAAAAAGTAGCTTGTATTTTCCTTTCTCTTTCTCGTCTGTTGTTAGCCGCTTGCTGACACTGGCTCCCGCCCGGAGTCACGGCGATACACAGGCGATACACAGGCTTTCATTGTGCTCCGATAGGAGAGGGAGAGAAAGAGAGAGAGTGAGACAGAGAGGGAGAAAGAGAGAGCCAGCAAGCCGCGGGGTGGGGGGGCTGGGGGGGGGAGGGCGGGAGAGCTCGCTCGAGGCTCCCTGGTGGAAGGCTGGTGCCACTACTCAAGTGAGTAATCGCAGCCAGGCACCGGGGAAAGGGGAACGCAGAGGGCCTCCCAGTGGCTGAAGAGGTAAATCCCAAAGCTGCGCATCTCAAACAGACTTCGCTCAGCCCAGCCTCAGACTTGGTGATGCGGGGAAGACTGGGGAAATTCCCCAACCCCTATGCAACTATTTCACTCTCTCTAAATGTTTAAGAAATTCCCGGCCAGGGAATGTATTTTCCCTTTCAGATCTACATTATGCCCCTCTGAGGATATCATTTTCATCTTTCAATATGTTGTAAATGATACCACTGAGCACCCTAGCGAGAACTCGGTAAGCGTTGAGGAAATGTTCATTAGTAAGGAAGTTGGCGACTGTGTTTGGGAGGGGTGTAGAGAGAAGGGAAATCGTTAAGGGCATGCAGGTGTAGTGTCTGCCTCCTTTCTGTGTCTCTCTGGGTGGTTTATCTGGGTGGTCAAAGCATATCAATATGGATAAATAAAATCCTTATGCGGATGATGAAATTACTAATACCAGTTCTAGAAGGAAAAAAAAGTGTTTTTTTCTTTAAAAATTTAAGATTGCTTATGACAACCAAATGCGAGGCAAGACTTTTCTATAGCTATCTGGTTTACAATGAAGAAAATCAACGTGTACCAGATGACTTTCAAGTTTAATAACACAAACCAAATAGATCTCTTACAAAGAACATTTTCTCCTCAATAGTAGATAATCCTGTTTTTAGCCAGCCGTATAGTGGATTCTGCTTGTCAATTAATTATGGAGAGTAAATTAAGGTAAGTACAATATTGGAAGTTGGAACCAAAAATAATCTAGGAGGACTAATTTGGATGTCATTGGATTTGAGTTCTCAAGCAGAGGAGCTTCATTAATTTAAACCAACTCTGGCATTTCAGTAACATGATCCTGCTTCAAACTGAGCCCTGGACAGAAATGGATGGTCAAAATAAATGCAAACATTTCAAGACTGGATTTGTTCAGTTTAGTTCCCCATAGACTGACCTACTGTAGTTCGTTTTATTTTTACAAATGTTAGGTTAGGAGTGGAGGCAAGTATACTCTGATAGAATACAGGTTAAAATACTTGGATACTATAAGTGTTTTGGTTTTTTGAGTTTTTCAGATTTTGGAATATGTGTATAGATTATACCAATTGAATATCCCCAAGGTAAACATTTGAAATGCTCCAAAAATTCATCATGTTGGTACTCAGAAAGTTTCAGATTTTTAGAAGCATTTCAGATTTTGTATTTTTGAATTAGGGATACTCAGCTATAAAACATTTAGCTTTTCATGGGGATATATTTCTGTCTGCCCCATTCAAGGCTAATTTCCTTTTTATTCATGTGAAGGAAGGCAGGAATATATCTTTGTTAAATAAACAAAATTTGAATGGCGAACTCTGCCATGAGGTGTCATTAAATGTGAAAGAGTTTTGATCATTTTATATTTGATTTTTTAAAAGTTGTATTCATTAGACAATATCTTCTTTCACTGTTATATGGGTATTTGACATTCAGCAATCATGCCTGATAAAAGAAAAATTATAATATTTAAGTTTAAATCTTACTGTTCACTCTATCACCCTTCAATAACATAGGTTTTGATTAATAGCATGGAATTCTTGGTCAAATAAGCTATCCCTAATGATATAAATTAAAAGATCAAAGTGATTTATAAATTTATTTCAAATGACACATAAATGAATGCAAAAATTTATATATTTATGGGGTAGCTTAGATATTTCAGTACATGTATGCATTGGGTAATAAACTGAACTATGCTATACACAGACATATCTTAAAAGTTTGGGAAGCAAAGTTTCATAATATAAGCACATATTCATACTATATTCCAGTGGTATGGGACATTTCTTTGGAATGTCTTTTGCATACATTTACCCTTATACAGCATAGCCATTGATTTCAAGATGTCATTTATTATCGACTCTTCATTTCTACTCACATCACTTATGACTGTTTATTTAAAAAAATTGGTTTCAGGCACAGCACTTCATATAAATGATCTCCCTTGATTTGCAATCCTGAGAGACAGCTATTATTAACCCCATTTGTGAGAAAACTGAGGCTTATAAAATTAATCTCCAGTTCATATAACAAGGACTCAACTCAAGACTGACTTTAAACCTATGCTCTTACCCATCAGGCTTGCTGCCTTAAAATCAAGTGTGAGTGTTGTATGAAAAGAGAGAAGGTTAGAACGCCCCTTGACAAGGATGGAAGAGGCTCTGGGACCTGACAACATGCATACAGTTAGGGCATTGCCACCTACTTCGTGGCATCTAACCATCTTTTTTTTTAGTCAATCCCAAAAAAACAAATGCCCAGTGTCTTCTCTGATATAAGGGGAGTGACTCAAAATGGGGTAGGGAGGGAGAGTATGGGAGGAAGATTACCTCTAGATAGGGAACAGGGGTGGGAGGGAAAGGGAGGGAGAAGGGGAATAGCATAGATGGTGGAAGGAGACCCTCATCATTATACAAAATACATGTATGAAGATATGAATTTGGTGTCAACATACCTTATATACTAACAGAGATATGGTAAATTGTGGTATAAAGGTGTATTAAGAATTGTAATGCAAAAAAATAATGAGAACTCATGTATAATGGCATAATTTGGCATGAACATACTTTGTATACAGAGTTACAAAAAACTGTGCTGTGAATGGATAATTATGATTGTAATGCATTCCACTATTGTCATGTATGTAAGAAATAAAAAAAATCAAGTGTGAAAAGAATTACAAGGAAGTCAAACTACTCTCATAGTAGCTCAAGGAGTGCAACTATTCCCCAGTCCACACTCATGGTAAACAAGCCCCATAATACCTGCAAGGAATGAGCAGTAGATACAACTACTCACTTGAATATGAGTGTACAAAGTTAGGAAACCTAGTTAACTATACTCAATTATGAAATAACTATCCCCCCATTCATTTTTCCTGTTTTATGGTTGTATGCCTTCTCTCATTTCCCCAAAACTTCTGTTTAGTTTTCAATCATGACTTCTCTTTTACTTTTCTATTTTCACCTTACTCATATCTTCATCATACACAGCTATCAAATGCTATATTAACTAATACTACAGAAATAACTGCCCAGATTTAAAAACATTGTCATGTGAGATTTATAAGCTTGCAACCTATTTTTAGTGTTATAACTGGATCAGTGATATTGGTGATAATATAATACAGTATGTCATAATAGCAGTTAAGGTTAATTCTATTTTTTGACATTTGTATTTTCTTATAAAACTATTTGTTTGGGTCCCCTAAACCATACTAATTTTCCACTCCTAAGAGCCTGTATCTTTGTCACTTTTGGTGTTACCATGTACTTTGTACTTAAAAGCTTCTTGTATCTTCCAAACATCCACTAAAATAGCATGCTTGGTTGTAATATCCCCAGACATCAGAAAAACTACCTGTATTCATTTTGTGATCAACAATCAGCTGTTCTAACTGGAAAAGACCAATTCAAGCCAACAATGGGCCTGACCCAGAATTACATAAGCTACTTTTGTAAGTACCTGGAATTATTAGTGCCTTAATTTTATGAATTATTGCATACAGTTAAAAATAATAAAAGTTTTACAATTTTCAGGTTGAAGTCCTTTTCCTCGTCCACTATCTCAAGCTTGTCATGTGTCAAATGCAAAGTGGTGCTTCCACAGTCATCAGAGAAACTTTAAAGATCATTTTCTCTGGCCTTCTTTTAACAAATCATTCATGATCCTTCATCTTCCTCACCTTGACTATCATTTGTATAATTCTGTCTTGATTCTTTTTGAACTGAGTCCTTTCATCTTCACCTTTTAACTATGGCTTAATTTTTATTTCCTGGAGTTAAGGACTATTCCTCCATGTTCCAGAGAAATAAAATGAATATAGATGTATGACCAAAATGTTTATCTCACACTTTTGAAAAATGTATGCATTTTTTATTAAACATCAGCATCAGTATTCTCACCACTTTGTGAGTCTTTAAAATCCAGTTTGTTTAAAATAATAATAGGGATAATTACAGAAAATGAATTACAGAAAGTATGAACTAATCTCCATGTAAGGATTTATCAAAATGTAGATATTTATTATGCATATACATACATTGAGGTCCATGCTGTGAATCTCATTAATAGATGAAGCGAGGTTCAATTAAGACTTCCAGTAAGAAAAAGAATCTAAAATTCCACAGTACAAGAGATCCTTTTAGAATACCATTATTGAGAATTAAAGATGAATAGACAGGGTCCATTTGTTCACTCTTCAACTGTTTATTATACTCTGGGAAAATGAAGATGTGCAAAGTAATGCAGATACCAAAATATATTTTTAAAGTGTTTTTAGCTGAACTTGTCTCTGGAATCTTCAGACCCTAACATACATGCATATATTGGGAAAGTTACGGGTAAAAATAAAATATATATTAATCATTAATATTTACACAAAACTGAACAGAAAAAAAAGAAATAACATAAAGTATGAAAATACAGATCATGAAATTTTTCTTGAATGTGAGGTTTGAAAGACTCTCAGAGGCCCGAAATTCATTTTTAAGGAAAACTTTAGAAAAAGCATAAAGCACTCCTCTATTTGGAACAGAAAAGCAACAGTCTATTTATGAAGCAAGGGGACTTTACTGAATGATACATTGAGGTTTCTTCTATGGCAGTTTAGATGATAGTAATAAAAAATATATTAGTGAAGAAAACCATTTAATACTGTAAAAGGATAACAAATAGACCCGAACAGAGATTCAACATTAAATATATATAGATGTTAGGCTAAATATTTTAAAATACAATATATTTCTACTAAACTGACAGAACATGATTAGCTCATTCACTTGATAGTCATCTGTAATAAAGGCATTGTTAGATAACTTTAAAATACATTTATGGGCTTAATAATTATTAAGCTTGTTTTCCATGTACAGCAGATAAAAGTTTTATCAGATATAGAGTGCCATTTCATGAGAAATTAAATGAACATGTTTTAAACAAGATATTTTGCTTGAAGATACACAAAAAACATATAAAATGCCACATAGTACAGTGAAACAAGGTTCATGATCTTCACATTTACAGGAATTTATAAAATCTTCTCTGAAGGAAATGTATTACAATTCAGTCAAACTTCTCATCTTGAAAGTAATCCGCAAAATTGAGATATTCTTCAAGTTGACCATATTTCTGCATATACAATGAAAAAGCTAGTTATTTAACTCAAAGCAGTGAAGATAAGCTAGACCTTTTCAAACTACACACATTTTTCAAACTACAACAGAAATGTATTTCATAGTAATTGGGAACAAATATCTTTTTATTATAGTTAGGAACTCAATTTCAAATAAAAATACCTAACTCATAGAAAGCATTGGTAAAAAATCAAACAATAGTATAATTAATTTCATAATTCACAAATTATAATTTTCCATTATAATATTTATAGTAGAAATTTAATTACTTTAATAACATTAAAAATATTTATAGGACATATATATCAAAACTAATGACTGTATAAGGTACAGAATTTTGAAAAGATACTTTCCCTGCCCCAAAGGAGACTAGAGCTTAGTAGTACTATACTATTAACAATCATAATAAGTGTCATGAAGGAGTAAAAACATGTTATGAGGGTTCAGAAGTCATGGTTTGCTGAAGTGGTTGGAAAAGAATAACATTCAAGCTGTCCTTGGCACAAAGATTTTGTAGGCAAAAAGTTAGCAAATTTTTCTGCAAGAGATAACATGTTCATCCAACAGTAACTTGACAAGGAAGTATGGGCTTTGACTATACTCTAAGGAATTGAGAGAGATAAGATTGAACTAAAGAGATTAAGGTCAGATAATAAAAAGTATGAAATGCTAGGTTAAGGAGTGGAATAATAATTTGACAGGCCATGGAATGGTGCTAAAGATCTAGGAGCAGAGGACTGACCTGATCTGAGGTATATTTTAAGGAAACTGGTAAAACAGCCATTCTAGAACTATTTCACAACCAATTATGAACCTATGGTTACAAGTTAGGTCATGAGGGCCCAAATTTGAGTGATAGAAATGAAGATGGAGGATAAGGAATAGGGTGGAACAAGTTAAGAGAGGAGTCAAGGATGATTTTGAGATATCAAGGTGAGAGAGTAGGAGAAAGAGCAGGGCCATTTCACAAGTAGATGGGGGGAGCAAAAGAGATATATGAGTTCAGTTTGGGATATACAGAGTGCAAAATGCTTTCTTCAGTTGAGGAGGTTATGTAATCTTATGGTTTCTTGATATGAACTCTGAGGGTCTATCCCTATCAAGATGAGAGAAGATGTCTAAGAACCTTGTGGTGGTACAGATCTATAGAAGGGAATGTGAGGAGTCCTTCTTCCTTCTAGATAAGGCCATGAAACCTTTTTTTATAACCTCAAGATCTCTGATTACATCACCTTCTCAGGAAAGGAGGAAGAAAAGAACAAGAGGAGGAATAACTTATAAGACTACTTAGGAATTTTCTTGGCCTAGTCTCGGATAGGTTTTACTAGATATAAGTAAAGTACTTTAAGAAATGTATACTTTAAAAGTTTAGTTGCTTGATGCTTTTATCTTATTATTTATATTCTTCTTATTATCTTTTATTATTATTATTTTTTTCTTTTATGTTGTTTTTCTTTATTATTTATTAAATTTGTTCCTGAAAATTTAAATTTATCTTTTATCTTTTTTTTTTTCAATAGTGGGACTGAACCCAGGACCTCATGCATGCTAGGCAAACACTCTACCACTAAGATATGTCCCTAGCTCTTTTTCTAAAATTTTACTTTGGGAGAAGGTCATTGCCTAGGCTGATCTCAGGCATTCTATCCTTCTGCTTCAGCCTCCTGAGTAACTGGGGTTACAGCTGTGTGCCACAGTATCTGGCTCTATCCAATATATATAAAAGGAAGCAAAATCTCTCTTTGCTTTTATTACAAATAATAGCTAACATTAATTGATCACTTTCTAATTGCTAGGACCTATAATAAATGTTTAAAATGTGCTACTTATTTAATTCCAAAATCAAAATCCTAATTCATATTATTTAATTCCTGTTTTATAGAAACTTTAGATTTATAGAAATAAACTAACTTAACCTCCAAATTCTATTGCTAGTAAATGGCAGAGCAAATACTTAAATCCATGCATTTAATCATTATAGTAGTATAGTGTTTCTGAGATTTAAAGTGGGGAGGGGGGACAAGAAGGTAGCAGCTTTGATGACAAAAATGAAAAAGCCTCAAAAGGGACAGTGAAACAGAGAAAAAGACAGTTGGTATTACTTTTGCCATTTTCTCCACCTAAAGATATAGCTCCCTTAGGTCTTCTTATACTGAGCATTTGGAGAGTTTAGGTCTTATTTTAATAATGAAGACTACTC